AAATGATATATATATATATATATATATATATATATATATATCATTTCAGAAATAAAGTTTGTAACCACAAAGACTGAAGGCTGCAGAACATCTTCCCTTTACCGTTTTTAAAGGGACTGCTTAGAAAACATAATACAGTGCAAGTGGTAATGCAAGAAAGGGAGATTAAAGGTTGTGACGCAAATGTGAGACAAAAAGATGCAGACACAAAACATAAAGTGTGGCTTGTCTTGTTAAAAAGAACGTCTGCCAACCAGCTGGCATTAATTGGCCTGTAAAATTCACATCTAACCTGGGAACAAAATAGATCCAAACCTAACGTACCGTGAACAACCTAAATTCCAAGAAACTATGAAAACAGACAACTTTTAAGCCCAGTGAAATGAACCTGCAAAGCCTGGTAAGGTTTCCCCTTCAAATGGAGATCTAAGACAAGAATTACACAGTGGGACACCACTCGCACACGCCTTTAACTTTCGGGACTGGCACTTTTTGTCTACATTTGCTTATCTTTGATTGCTTCAGATGCCCACCTCTCAAGGTGTGTCACTTGTTCATGTCCTTCTCACACCCTGTGGCATGTTTCTATGTCATCTGTGAGCCACGAGCGTCCCCATCAGGACTGAGGGCAGCAGGCCGACCTTGAGCAAAAACGGCAGCTGAGACAATAGGTAAATGAGCTCCTTCACTTACTAAGTTCTCATATTCACTACTGTCCTCATCATCATTTTCGTCATCCCCTTCATCATCATCATCATCATCATCTTCTTGCCCTGCAGCTTGTCTGTCTAATGAATCAGAGCTTGATCCATCGCCGTTGCCAAGGTATGGGGAGCTGGGAGTGCTAATGGGATTCAAACTGGCATTGAGGCCTATACTCAGCCTGAGGCCTAAACCCAGGTCCGTCCCCACTGGGACAGGGGTAGGGTGTCCTGGAGAGCCCACGGCTTGAGGTCGCGGCAACAGAGCAGCACTGGTTGGTGGGGAAGAGGAGGAGAGCAGATTGTCATCTTGGGATAAGAGGTCAGTGTAAGACAGTGGGTTTGGTGAGGTACTAGGCCGCTCTGGAGCAGAGGGTGCGTCAAAATTTATCCTGGAAAGAAGGGAGACCTCGGAAGGCTCTGTGTTCTCCTCTGGAGTGGATTGAGAGTTTTCATGGCGCCCTTTTCACACACACATAAAAAAAGAGACATATAAGTTTGCAAGGCAAACAGTGGTTTAAAATGACACATTAAAAAAGGTACATACTTCTTTCCTCTTCTGCTGCCATTCGCTTCCTGAGAGCCATTTGTTGTTTGAGTTTGTTCACATCTTCTTGAATTTTCTCTTTAATACGTTCACTTTGTTCTACCTCCCCACACACGGCCTGTAAAAAAAAAAAAAAAAATGACGTATACATCTTCTGAGCAGAGAATTCCAGTTTGTGTAAAGGACCACCAACCCAACTCACCTGGACTTTATCTTGTAGTGCACTGTAGACTTGGAATATTGTTCGGATATCCTTCATCACACCATCTTTGTCAAAGAATTCAGCCCTGACAAAACATTTAGAAAAATAAGACTTTTATCACATATTTGCAAAATGAATTATTACACAGTACAAGCATAACCAGTTTCTTTATTAATACCACACAGCTGAAACAGTAGATCTAATTTTACAAGCAAAGAAAGGCTAACACTGTGCTTGGATGTTACATACAAATTTTTCACTGTGGTCTGCTTTTAACACATGTATACCACCGTCGCAGTGTCTAAAGTAAACCCGGGTGAGCGTCTACATACACCAACCACATACTAAGATTATTTTTTTGTCCTTGAGCCACATCTATTTTTTGAGAAGGTTAAGGTCCTTCAACATCTGCCAGACTATGATGAAGGTGTTTAATGAGACTGTGGTGGCCAGTGTCCTCCTGTTTGCTGTTGTGTGCAGGGGCAGCAGACTGAGGGTAGCGGATGCCAACAGACTCAACAAACTTATGTGCAAGGCCAGTGACGTTGCGGGGGTGGAGCTGGACTCAATGAGTGTGGTGTCAGACAGGCGGATGCTATCCAAGTTACATGCCATTCTGTATAATGGCATGCATCCTCTCCAGGAGCGCATTTAGTGCAAGACTGAGACCACCAAAATGCACTACAGAGCATCACAGGAAGTCATTTCTGCCTGTGGTCATCCAACTATACAACTCCTCTCTCTGAGTGTCAGAGACTCCGTCAACACACTGTTAATACACTGGATTGCTTGCCTTGTCAGCAATATATACACATATTCATAACTGCACTAGAACTGTAAATACTTGAATATATTGAACACGCACGTTGCAAATATTAATATTATATTGTTATTTTTAATCTTCCTCATTGGTTTTATTTTTGCTCAGGTGTAACTATACTTTGAAAATCTTTGTATGTTTACATTGTTATACCCTTGCATGGAGCAACTATAACAAAGCGAATTTCCTCTTGGGATAAAGTATTCTGATTCTGATATTGATCAGAGTCATTTAGGATTAAGTAATGGCTGACCCCGAATCTCAATCCAATATTTGCATTATTTAGCTTTTATTTTTCCAACACTGGTTTGCAGCTTCAGTGTAATCATGTGACACCTCAGTAGATTTAAACAGCACTAATTAAAACTTGTATGTTGTTCCTTAATTACCTTGGAGAATTTTTCATACAACTTGTGTAGCACTTTGTTGGTTATGTATCCAAATCATAGTTTTCCTGTCAGGTGAAAACAGGTGGCTACTCTAACTCTGTTCACAGTGACATGGGTTAGGTGCAAAAAAGGAGCTCCAAACTTACCCATGCTCTTTGATGACCTTTGCGTAGTTGAGGGAAGTGTTGGGTACTGAAGAGGTTTTGTATTCCTGCTGGTTTGTGTTGCCAAGGTTTGGAATAGTGAGGGTTATCCTCTGGTTGTACTTACTGAGAAAAAATGACAAGTTATCACCTTCAAAGCATTCTTTACAAAACAAAGTATTCAACTCCACAAAATGATATGTATTTATCAAAAGATGCTTTAATGAGTAAAGAGTTCTTATTGTGAATGTATACATTTCCAACATTTAAAATCTTTTATTTAAATAAATTAACACAATCTACAGTGTATTGTACTTTTCTAGTCATATCAAGAACTAAATGACTTTCAGAGTACAAATAAAAATCAGTAAATCAACATATTCATATAAAGATTAATGTGCAATTAGACAGTCATTGTTTACCCTATAATCTGTTGAAATGTAAGTTGAAGCTGATGGGAATCAAAAGGTCTGATTAAAATACTAACCTTCCATTTAATGGACGATACAAATCATAAGCCACAACAGCTACTTAAAAGTTCTAGAGAAAAATGCACCACTCCAGTTTTTATTTTCTAAACAAAAACAATATTTTTCACCAGGTTTGAACTATATACATTAGTCACAAAAAAAGTCAAGTCAGATCATCTGGACAGAGTCTTCTTGGTTGCATTAGTATGACATAAATACAATCATGCAGTTTTTCTTAAGGCAACTGAATACTATAGTAATCCTAAAAACTAATTAGAAGGCAAATGTACTTCCTTTTGTTTCCAATTTCAACACTCATTTTTGTAGTATTATTTTCAGAACTAAATAAGCCTATTAAATAAGAGGTGAAATGTCTTCAAGAGACAGGAAAGGAATTATTATTATATATATATTTTGATTTGTTTGTTTGTTTTTTGTAGAGTTTAATCATCAGGCAGAGCATGATGAGATACTAGGATTTTTGTGTATGCGTGTTCATAGTGACCAACATGTCATTACCTGTGGTTAGGTTTGAAGAGCACATACTCCAGTGCATGTGTAGAGCTATTGGCAGTAGAGATGAAGCTAAAAAGAAGGAAGACGAGGTCGGGCACACCAAGCAGCTGTGTGAGCTGGTTGTGGATAATCTGCTCCCTGAAAGACATCTGTTGCTGTGTATTCCTGCGGAAGCGGTACCAACCAATAACATTCTGTATGGCAAAAAAACAACAACAAACAAACAAAGAAAAAAGGTATGTTATATAAACTTTTATACTTTATATTTTAAACTTCTATGCAAAAAACATTTCACAAGCTGAAGTGAATGTAAATATTTAAATTTAAAACAATATATTTTTTTTAAAACATTGCCTTGTTTTAAAGGTGCAATAAAAAATTACACAAGGCTGTTGACACCAGTAAAGAATAAAAGCACTCACTTTTCGTCTACCTTTAAGAATGCTGTTGAGATTTTCTTCACTGACTTTACCTGCGTAGTCATAAAAGCTGAGAAGTGCGGGAAATAAAAAAGCAAGTTGAGTTCAAACACATTTATTAGGTTTCTACTTCTCTGCCAGAACCATCTTATAGCACGTTTTGTCAGATGGAAGCACCTACTGTTCAATGTCCAAACAAATTCAGCTCATGTTAAAACGGATGGATGGTCATTGAGGAAGTTTACAAGTATCAGTTTATTATCAGTGATCTAAACTTATAAACTTAAAAACTAAAGCAAAAGCAGATTATCTTTCACAAGTAGCAGACAAGCTTCATAAAAATGTTAAGCCTTTAAAAAAAAAAATAAAAAAAAACAAGACTCGTACATTAATTTTCATATGAAACCATACATTTCTAAATTTCTGACTACATTTCATAACATAGCTGTGTGTGTTAGTAAATAAGTCATAACTTACCTAAATAACTGGGCACAAGGATCATGGTTATGGATTTCTGGTGGGAACAAACAATGACAGATTTTAGTTCCTCAGAATCAGTCATGCACTTTAATCAAATATAAACTAGAGTGTAAACCCCAAACTGTTGCTAAACTTAGTGTTTGTTCGATATTACATGCTTCACTGTTATTATTTTACTTTACAATCAAGTATTAAATATAAATTAAACATTTTCCTTTACACCTGTGCTGTTCTTATTCAAGTCAAAATGCCTTTCAAAGAAACACAAAAACCTGTGATTTTGTAACTGTCCCTCAAGGTAATAACCAATTACAAACTAGCTGCAATTAGGTGATAATCATACTTCTTAGGGAAAATGTTACAAAACCAGCATTTTGTCTGTTTCTGTGCTTACCTACTACCTGCAGCAGTTCTGCATTGCTAATTTGCGTGTCACTGATGCTGACAGTCTCTTCTTGTCTTACTTCTCCTAATAGGAAGCCCTCCTGTGTAAAGACATTTTCAAAGACTTGTGGTTAGGCACAACTATTAAATTAAATCATAATGGCTCCCTTCCATTAACAACCGTTTTATGGTACAAAAATGAAAAACAACCAAGTTTTTGTGCGCTGCATTTAGAACCAAATTACACCAATATCACAAGTGTAGTTGCAAAACTAAACACCACAGCTATAAGCAATTTTTTTTTT